GCCCTGGGCGGCCTGCCCCCCGGCGGCGACTCGCACCCGCAGCACTACGGCCGCCTGCCCGGGACCATCTGGAGCTACACGCAGGTGCGCCGAACGGGCGGCGGCGGCGTGGAGACCGTGCAGGGGCCCGGCGTGTCTTGGGTGCACCCCGATGGCGTGGGCGTGCAGATCGACACTATTACGCCCGAGATCCGCGCGCTTTACAACGTGCTGGCCAAGGTGAAGCGCGAGCGCGACGAGTACAAGCGGAGGTGAGTGGGGGACATCCAGGTCCCGGCGGCCGCGGAATGTCAGGTCGGGAGTAGGTGGGCTGGAAGCTGTTCGCGGAGCGTCCTTTGTGCGCTTGGAGGACTTAGTTATCTAGATCCAAGAATGGGGGCGGGAGCTGACTACGATGCGGGACACCTTGGCGCTGTCATTGGTCCAGGCACATTGGTTTCTAGGTGACATAATAACCATTGGTATTGTATGTGATCTCATTTCATCGTCAGGACAACGCAGAGTGGAAGGCAGCCTTATTCCCATTTTGCAGATGAGGAAACTGAGGCACTGAGCTGTGAAGTGACTTGCCTTAGGTAGCTTGGCTTGTAAGTGGTGAAGCCAGGATTTGAAGTAGTTGTATTTGATGTTCTGTCTCCCAGCCTAAGTAGTTTTTTATTTCCCTCACTCCCCCCAGGAATTTAAGAGGCAAGTTTTTCCTCAATGGGTGAGAAGAAAATACTCTTAACCCATCCACTACCCTTTTGTTCCTTGAATTAAATGAGATCACATGTTTGAAAACAGATGGATCACATGGGGCTGGGGTCTGCTGTTCCTGCTCCAGTTTTGAAATCTCCAGCTGGTTGGGCTGGACAACCAGACTTACGTCAGACTAACCACACGCTTTTAAAAATGCCTCCCTTCATCTCTCTTCTCCCCACTCTCCTTAGTCTCATGGTTTATTGGGCTCCTAGAAACTCACCCTGAAAGGCCCCAGGAGGGGTAACCTCAGGCTGGAAGACTGTCATTGAATGGACCCAGACCACCATCTCTGGCTAGATTGCCCACAGGGCTGGCCATCCCGTTCCTGCCCCAGCCCAGATTCCCCAGCTGGGAAACAGACATTACTTCCTGCCTGCAGCCTGGCTGACAGTGCTGTCTGCTCGGCTTTCTGATAAGAGGAGGGGGTCTGTCTGCAGCATCACGGGTGTGGGTGGGGAGGGGCTCTCTGTCCTCTATAGATTGGTATTTACATGGATCCGGTCCTATGGACTGGTATTCCAGGGCTTGAAGGATGCTCTGAGAGGGGCCTTTCCTTCCACCCCGAGCCCTGGTGTTCATATGAACGGTAGATTTCGTGGCACAAAGGCCTGCCTGGGGAACTGGGCATGGGTCTCCTTCCTGTCCCTTCCACTGGGCAGGCTGGCCACCGGTCAGGGTTCAAATGCCAGCTCCATCACCTGCCAGTGAGATTGTTGAACCACTTGGAAATCTGGTTCCTCAGCAGAGAAATGGGAATGACAAAACCCATCCAGGATTGTGTGAGGGGAGAATAGGATGGTGATGGTGATACTTTTTGGAAGGTATAAAGTACCAAGCTGATGCTATTCAGGATAACAAGCATGTTGTCAAAATAGCAGGGAGCAGAAATGCCCTGAGTCTCAGATCTCCAGCTTTCTGGGGTAGATCTTAGACCCCACTGGGAGACCAGCTCCTCTTCTGGGGTAGCTGTCTCTCTTGAAGACTGGAGAGTGTCCTGGTGGCCCGCCAAGGAGAGGCCACCTTTCTGCCCTCGTGCGCAGCCTTGTTGGGGTGGGGTAGAGGAACAGGCACTTGGTCTTGATGGTGAAACTTAGGAGGGCTGGGCCTTCCCGTCTGCCACTGTTAATGGTGTTGTCATGCCCCAGGTTTGTGTTGTGTTTATTTTATTGTGTCTGTGCTTTTTGGACTTGGCTACTAAGGAGATGGAAAAACCGTGCCCAGTCTTAGAGGGAGATGGGTTGGCACTGAGCAATGCTCTGTTGAAGTTGCACCCAGGGCGTGGGGTGTGATGTCAGCTTCGGGGGCTGGCCCGGAATGAGCCAGGGCTGCTGAGACAGGTGGAGGTGGGCATTACTCTTCCCACCCTGCTGGGAAGGTGCATGCATACCTTTTCTTCTCCATGTTTTTGTGAATTGGAAAGACACATCTTTTCTCTAGTTGATTTAGGGCTCAGGTTGGATTTTTCCAAAGGAAGTATAATACAGCCTTCCCTGGGCCTCAGTTTCCCTAAATGTAAGGAGAAGTGGATGAGTTAGAACTGTGTCACTTGAAGCCTCAGGCTTCCTCTGAGATGTTTTAGGGACTCCTTGAATATTTAATAAAGTTATTATTTAAAAATAAATTACAATCTTAATATGATCATCAAAATGTGTCAGTAACATTTAAGTTCTTAATGTTAACTCACTGGAGCCTACCAGACACACTTACTTGCTAATATTTAGCCTCGAGTTAAAGCCTCTCTCCTGCCTTCTTTGTCTGAAGAGTGTTCTGAGATTGCAAAACAGGTGGCTAAAAAACTATTCTCATTTGTAGCTACTTATCTGTGAGAGTCAGGATTTTCTTGATGCTCTGCAGTCAAAACTGGAGACAAAATTAAATTGGATGCAGAATGGCATCCCTAATCCCGATTCTAAATGTTAATGCATCAAAATAGCCTCATCAAGCTCATTGATGGAATTTAGAATAGGTAACTGTTATATATTTGGACCTACAATTTAAATTTATGCAAGCAACATTGTATTTTTACTTGCTTGTATGTTTGGGTTTCTCAATAAATTTTCTTTCTTTTTTTTTTGTGAGGGGGAGTATATGAACAACTTTTAAAAGTGCTTTAAAACTATAGGGCTGGATGATCTCAAAGGGTCTTCCCAGTCTGGACAATATATAAATGTGAGTTCTCACCTCCAAACCCCCATCCACAGAAGTTACAAACTATGTACAATCCATGGGATGAGACCAAGGTGTTTGCTAAATGTCTGGTAACCGGGGTCTTCAAATCCTTCCAGGATGCCTTGCATGGTGCCCCAAGCAGTGACCAGCGGAAGGGCACTGTGCAAGAAAAGGAAAGGTTCCAGGGTCTCCTCTGGTCCACCTGGAGGAACTCGAAGCCTCGGACTCCCTCGCTTGCTTTTCTCAAGGGGAAATCTGAGATGTGTAGTTCAGTGTTCACCAAGCTGGAGGGTTTGGGTTCCACCTTCATAATTTTTTGCCATATCCATGAACTACCACCTGTGCTATTAAAACAAAACAAAACAAATCCACTGCCATTGAGTCAATTCTGACTCATAGTGACCCTATGGGACAGAGTAGAACTGCCCCATAGGCTTTCCAAGGCTGTAAATCTTCATAGAAGCAGACTGCCACATCTTTCTCATGCAAAGCAGCTGGTGGGTTTGAACTGCCACGTTTCAGTTAGCAGCCAAGTACTTAGCCATTGTGCTACCAGGGCTCCTTCCTGTACTATCACTTACGTAAAATATTTTAACAGCCTTGTTGTTGTTAAGTGCCATCAAGTTGGTTGCAACTTATGGTGACTCCATGTACAATATTCATAAAGTTTTCACTGACTAATTTTTTTAGAAGTAGATCTCCAGGTCCTTCTTCCTAGTCTGTCTCAGTCTAGAAGCTCCACTGAAACCTGTCCACTGTGGGTGACCCTGCTGATGTTTGAAATACTGATGGCATAGCTTCCAGCATCATAGCAACACACAAGCCACCATAGTACGACAAACTGACAGATGAGTGATGGTTTAACAGCCTTATTGAGGTATAATTGCATATCTTAAAGTTTACTTTAAGTGTACAATTCAGTGATTTTAGTGAATTCACAGAGTTGTGCAACCATTACCACAATCCAGTTTTAGAACACTTGCATCACTTCTCAAAGATCCTTCATGCCTGTTTCCAGTTAATCTCCATTCCCACTGCAAGCCTAGGCAACCACTAATCTTTCTGTCTCTGTAGATTTGCTTTCTCTGGATACATCATATAAATAGAGTCATACAATATGTAGTCTTTTGTGTCTGGTTTCTTTCACTTAGATAATGTTTTTGAGGTTCATCCATGTTGTAGCATGTATAAGTAAAAAAAAAAAATTGCCATCAAGTAGGTTCCAACTCATAGTGACCCTATAGAACAGAGTAGAACTGCCCCATAGGGCTTCTGAGGCTATAAACACGTATCAGTAGTATGTTCCTTTTTATTGCTGCATAATGTTCCATTGTATGGATAGTCCACATTTTGTGTATCCATTCACCTGCTTATTCAATATATATGTTTTTTCTCTCCAGCCCTGTCCGGGACCCTCTATGTGATCCCGGTCAGAATAGTCGATGGTGGTAGCTAGGCACCATCTAGTTGTGCTGTCTCAGCAATTCTTAAAGGGGCAACCCAGAGCCTATCAAACAGAATTTTCCGGGATGTTCCTTGAAAAGTTGCTTAGTCCAAGTTTTTTTTTTTTTTTTGTGCTTTAAGTGAAAGTTTACAGTTCAAGTCATTTTCTCATACACAAATTTACACACACATTGCTGTGCGACCCTAGTTGCTCTCCCTATACTGTGACAGCACACTTCTTTCCACCCCAGATTTCCTGTATCCATTCAACCAGCTCCTGTCCCTTTTTGCCTTCTCATCTCACCTCTGGACAGGAGCTGCCCATTTAGTCTCATGTATTTACTTGAGCTAAGAAGCACTCTCTTCATGAGTATCATTTTATGCCCCATAGTCCAGTCCAATGTTTGTCTGAAGAGTTGGCTTTGGGAATGGTTTCATTTCTGGCTAACAGAGAGTCCGGGGGCCATGTCTTCCAGGGTCCCTCCAGTCTCAGTCAGACCATTAAGTTTGGTCTTTTTACTAGAATTTGAGTTCTGCACCCCACTTTTCTCCTGCTCTGTTAGGGACTCTCTGTTGTGTTTCTCGTCAGGGTGGTCATTGATGGTAGCCGTTATTCAATATATTTTAAATTTAAAAAGTCACCAGTGTACTGCCTAAAGTCATCCTGCGTGCCCCCAGTGGTACACCAACCACGCTTTGGAAACACCAACCCAAACCAGAGCCCCTGCCCTGGGATGCCCAGCCCCCAACCTTTCACCACTACTTTGGTTTCCCCTTGGTCCAACCAGCCAAGCCCTAAGCCCTTTACCACGTGAGCAATGTGGTCGCTGAACCTGTAATGCGGACAAGGTTGTTAAGGATTGATTTGGAAACCAAAACAAACATTTCTACCCTGTCA